GCCAAAACCAGAGTGTGGAGCCACAGTGTGGCGGTGGAGGCAGCAGCAATGGGAGGCCATACAGCACCCTATGACAAAATGGAACCCACCAGCAGTGTGAGGAGACCTGAAAGTGGCACATGGCAGAGTGTGGCGATGGAGACAGCAGCAATGGGAGGCCGTACAGGGACCCATGACACACTCTGGACCTGGCAGCAGCATGAGGAGGCGGTACAGGGGCCCATGGCAAGAAGAAGAAGAAGATGAAGATGAGGATGAGGAAGAAGAAGAAGAAGAAGAAGAAGAAGTAGAATGAGGATGAAGAAGAAGAAGAAGAAGTAGGATGAGGATGAAGAAGAAGAAGAAGTAGGATGAGGAAGAAGAAGAAGAAGTAGAATGAGGATGATGAAGAAGAAGAAGTAGGATGAGGATGAAGAAGAAGGATGAGGATGAAGAAGAAGAAGAAGTAGGATGAGGATGAAGAAGAAGAAGCAGAAGAAGAAGAAGTAGGATGAGGATGATGAAGAAGAAGAAGTAGGATGAGGATGAAGAAGAAGAAGTAGGATGAGGATGAAGAAGAAGAAGAAGACGAAGAAGAAGTAGGATGAGGATGAAGAAGAAGAAGAAGACGAAGAAGAAGTAGGATGTGGATGAAGAAGAAGAAGAAGAAGAAGTAGGATGAGGATGAAGAAGAGGAAGAAGAAGAAGTAGGATGAGGATGAAGAAGAAGAAGAAGAAGTAGGATGAGGATGAAGAAGAAGAAGGAAGAAGAAGAAGAAGAAGTAGGATGAGGAAGAAGAAGAAGTAGGATGAGAAGAAGAAGAAGAGGATGAGGATGAAGAAGAAGAAGAAGTAGGATGAGGATGAAGAAGAAGAAGAAGAAGAGGTAGGATGAGGATGAAGAAGAAGAAGAAGAAGAAGAAGAAGAAGTAGGATGAGGATGAAGAAGAAGAAGTAAGAGGATGAAAGAAGAAGAAGAAGTAGGATGAGGATGAAGAAGAAGAAGTAGGATGAGGATGATGAAGAAGAAGAAGAAGTAGGATGAGGATGAAGAAGAAGAAGTAGGATGAGGATGTAGAAGAAGAAGGATGAGGATGAAGAAGAAGAAGAAGAAGTAGGATGAGGATGAAGAAGAAGAAGTAGGATGAGGATGAAGAAGAATTCCAGTGCAGCAAAAAGTGTATCTGCAGAGAGCTCCGCTATTTCTGACAGTTCTCTGACAGTTCCTTCACATTTACAGCGGTTGAAACATTGTATCTATTTGTTTCCGAATAAAAACATCTGTATCCTAAATGGAAACAAATAGATACAATGTTTCAACTGCTGTAAATGTGAAGGAACTGTCAGAGAACTGTCAGAAATAGCGGAGCTCTCTGCAGGGACACTTTTTGCCGGCTGTAGAAGGGATGAAAATCGGCCGATCGGGGAAAATTCGATTCGCGCATCCGAAGTTTGCTAATTTTCGGATTCGGCGAATTTTTCCTAATATTCGAAACGAATTCCACTTCGCCAGGTTCGATTCGCTCATCTCTAGTGACAACCTATCATGGTAGTCCAATGATTTGGAGGGGGGGTCCCAATACTTTTGGCAATATAGTGTGTGCATATAATATATATATATATAAATAATATGTGTGTGTATGTATGTACTGTGTGTGTATAAATATGTGTGTTTTATGCTACATAGAGTTGAGAAAACAGTTGAACAAGGAGGTTAGGATATTATAGTGAGAAGGAAGCACAAGCCAACAAAGTATGCTACAGTGTCAGTGATGACAGATTTTATAGTGACCACATAGGATGCTAAAAATAATTATTAGTAGGCTGCCTTTTCGTACAAGGAGATTTCTTAGGAAAGTGGGTGGCCACAAACTCCCTTTTGAGAGTAATTTCCTATGTTAATGATATTGACACAACCAATAAAAGCCATGGGAACTTCTGGACATTTGCAAGAATTAATTAGGGATGAGTGCCTGAAGACTGTAACTTCTAATGTGTTTCAGAGATAGACTTTTACTTCAGATTAACCGGATTGATTAAAAAGCTGGTGCAGTGTAGAAACTGCAAACAATTATTATGTGCAATTTAGAGGATTCTGATTCATTATATTAAATTCCATAAACCCTTACCAGGATGTTTTTTAGATTAAACACATGGGTATGGTAGAATCACAGCAATCCACACGTAAACATCCCAGGTATTTCAGATTAAGGATGTATTTCTTGATTGAGCTCCTGGAATTATTATTTTAAACTTACATTTGTCCAGATTTGTTACATCTAATTCTTCATATATCACATCCAGAGGGCTGCTGGGGATGCAGAAGGTCAAAGTAGTAGCCTGTGCTACATACAGTGCCCTGAAAAAGTATTTATACCCTTTGAAATTTTCCACATTTTGTCATGTTACAACCAAAAATGTGAATGTATTTTATTGGGATTTTATGTGATAGACCAACACAAAGTGGCTCATTATTGTAAAGTGGAAGGAAAATGATAAATAGTTTTCAAATTATTTTACAAATAAATATCTGAAAAGTGTGGCGTGCATTTGTATTCAGCCCCCTTTACTCTGATACCCCTAACTAAAGTCTAGTGGAACCAATTGCCTTCAGAAGTCACCTAATTAGTAAATAGAGTCCACCTGTGTGTAATTTAATCTCAGTGTAAATACAGCTGTTCTGTGAAGCTCTGAGGTGTGTTAGAAAACAGTCGTGAACAAACAGCATCATGAAGGCCGAGGAACACACCAGACAGGTCAGGGATAAAGTTCTGGAGAAGTTTATAGCAGAGTTAAGTTATAAAAAAAATACCCCAAACTTTGAACATCTCATGGAGAACTATTCACTCCATCATCCAAAAATGGAAAGCGTATAGCAAAACTGCAAACCTACCAAGACATTGCCATCCACTTACACTTTCAGGTCAGGGAAGGAGGGCATTAACCAGAGAAGCAGCCAAGAGGCCCATGGAAACTCTGGAGGAGCTGCAGAGATCCACAGCTCAGGTGGGAGAATCTGTCCACAGGACAACAATTAGTCTTGGACTCCACAAATCTGACCTTTATGGAAGAGTTGCAGGAAGAAAGCTATTGTGGAAAGAAAGTCATTAGAAGTCCCATTAGCAGTTTCCGTGAAGCCATGTGGGAGACACCGCAAATGTGGAAGAAGGTGCTCTGGTCAGATGAGACCAAAATTTTACTTTTTGACCTAAAAGAAAAATGCTATGTGTGGCACAAAATAACACTGCATATCACCCGCAACACACCATTCCCACCGTGAAACGTGGTGGCAGCATCATGGTGTGGGGATGCTTTTCTTCAGCAGGGACAGGGAAGCTGGTCAGAGTTGATGGGAAGATGGATGGCGTCAAATACATGGCAATCTTAGAAGAAAACTTGTCTGCAAAAGACTTGAGACTGGGGCGGAGATTCACCTTCCAGCAGGACAACGACCCTAAGCATACAGCCAGAGCTACAATGGAATGGTTTCGAATGATCAAAGCATATTCATGAGTTAGAATGGCCCAGTCAAAGTCCAGAGCTAAATCCAATTGAGAATCTGTGGTAAGACTTGAAAATTGCTGTTCACAGACACTCTTCATCCAATCTGACAGAGGTTGAGCTAATTTGCAAAGAAGAATGGGCAAAAATGTCACTCTCTACAAAGCTGGTGGAGACATCCCCAAAAAGACTTGCAGCTGTAATTGCAGCCAAAGGTGGTTCTACAAAGTATTGACTCGAGGGGACTGAATACTAATGTACGCCACACTTAATAATTCTTTTTTTTACATGTTGAAAACCATTTATAATTTTCCTTCCACTTCACAATTATGTGCCACTGTGTGTCGGTCTATCACATAAAATCCCAATAAAATACATTTATGTTTTTGGTTGTAACATGACAAAATGTAGAAAATTTCAAGTGGTATGAATACTTTTTCAAGGCATTGTACAATCAGTACCACCACCATACAGAAAATGTCTTGTCTTTTTTAATGAATACAAGGGATTATCTGATTGGACAAGGCAAAGAGTTGGGAAGGATGATATCATGATGTCTGCCTCATTCAATCAGAGAACACATTGTATGCAGTGAAAAAAATACAAGATATTCTCTGAATCGCGGAGGTGCTGAGCAAGTAATTGTGTTCAGTATATGGATGGCATGTCACTCGTGCAGCATACAGAAGAGACTAGAGCTGACTGTATGTATCATAGGTTACTACAGTGAATTTCTGCAGCCCCATCAGCCCTCCAGATGTGAGCTATGAAGATTTCAATGTAACCAAGCTGGACCAATGTAAGTTTACAAAAACATAATTCCTGGAGTTTAGCTTTAAACGTGAAATCATAGTTAAACGGTGTCTGTGTCAAGTTTATATGTAAAAGACTAAATGGGCACGTATCATTTATACAATGAGAACCCAACTTTATGATTTAGAGTAAGGGTCGCCAAACTTTCTAAACAAAGGGCCAATTTACTGTCCTTCAAACTTTAGGGGGCCGGCCTGTGACCAGTGGGAGAAGAAAATGTCTTGGTGGCAGTGGGAGCAAACAATGCCCCATCATTGGTATTAGAGAGAGTAATAGTGTCCCAACATTGGTGTCAGTGGGAGGAATAATGCCTCATCATAGGTGTAAGTGATAGGAATAGGAACCCATCATTGGTGTTAGTGGGAGGAGTAGGGACCCATCATTGGTGTTAGAGGAATAGTGCCCCATTATGGGTGTCAGTGGGAGAAATAGTGCTTCATTGTCGGTGTCAGTGGAGGAATAGTGCTTCATTGTCGGTGTCAGTGGCCAGAGCTATACCCCTCTGTTGCTTACAGTGGGAGGAAAAATGCCCCATGGGCTGGTTAACCGCAAGAAAAGACCTGCATCCGAATCCCGGGTTGCAGTTTGGAGACCACTGATTTAGAGGATGCTTATATACAAAGAAAAACTTTATTTTCAATGTAATACATATATTGTAAAATGCTTTATTGTTACACTTTTTTTCCTTTGCTGCTATACTAATAAAAGTATATATTGGTTATGAGGTAAACTTTATATATTGGCTAATAGTATCTTTCACTTTTAGATGAAAGTTCTCCTGCAAATTTTTGGGATTCTAAAAACAGAGGTGTAACAGGAACGCAGAAGGGACAAATTGTCTGGAGAATTGAAACAGGTCCATATTTTATGGAACGTGAGTAAATCTTTTTGAAACACATTAACGTATGACAATACAGAACTTTATGCATATGATCCATAAACAATGTTTTGTTGCTGTGTACAATCTGCACGATCACACTTAAAGTGGGACTATGGGCAAAATAAAAAATGACCTATATGATGCATTCTGTCAGTAGTATTGCCAGTAGTATTATTCGTTAGTAACTTCTGTAAAGGCCACCCAAATCTACTAGTCTATTTAACACTAACCTCTCCACAGTTTGACATTGATGCTGTCCATGGGTGGCTATGTTGCTCTTCCATAGATACAGATAGTCATAAAACAGAATGAGTCTTACTTGCAGGGCCACCAGTAAAAAAAACAAATACATTGCATCAAAGACCTGGAAAGTGGCAGTATATTAAATGTAGGTTTAGCTAGTCTGTCAAATAGCATATAATAGCAAGCTCTACTGAAAAGCAAGATACAATTACATCGTGATTTGTTTCAGCAAAAAAAAAAAATTAATAAAATAACTTACATACAGTATGTATGTGTGTGTGTGTGTGTATATGTATATGTGTGTGTGTATATATATGTATATAAATACACACATACACAGTGATCTGCATAAATGAGTACACCCCTTTTGAAAAGTAGGATTTTAATCAATATCTCAATGAACACAAGAACTATTTCCAAAGTTTTGACAAAACTGAGTTTTATAGAATGTTTGTTTAGCTAATTACATGAAAGTAAGTTAATAATATAATTTAGATTACACAATCTTCAGTTTTACTCAAATTAGTTGATGCAAAAATGAATACACCCCACAACAAAAACTACTACATCTAGTATTTTGTATGTCCTCCATGATTTGTAAGGACAGCACCAAGTCTTCTAGGCATGGAATGAACATGTTGGTGACATATTGCAGTATTTATCTTTTTCCATTGTTCAAGAACGACCTCTTTTAGAGCCTGGATGCTGGATGGAGAGTGTTGCCCAATTTGTCTCTTCAGAATTCCCGTGTTCGATTGAGTTCAGGTCAGGAGACATATTTTGGCCATTTAATCACTTTCATCCTGATCTTCTTCAGAAATGCAACAGTGGCCTTAGATGTGTGTTTTGGATCATTGTCATGTTGGAAAAGTACACGACAACCAAGGGCATGGAGTGATGGTAGCATCTTCTTTTTAAATATAGAGCATTACATCTGTGAATTCATGATACCATCAATGAAATGCAGCTCCCTGACACCAGCAGTACTCATGCAGCCCCACAGAAGGACACTGCCACCACCATGTTTCACTGTAGGCACCATGCATTTTTCTTTGTACTCCTCGCCTTTGTAACGCCATACAGTTTTGAAGCCATCAGTTCCAAAAACATTTATCTTGGTCTCATCACTCCAGAGTACAGAGTCCCAGTAGTCTTCTTCTTTTTCAGCATGGGCCCTGCCAAATTCAAGATGTGCTTTTTTGTGCATGGGCTTTAGGAGAGGCTTTCTTCATGGATGCCACCCATGCATGCCATTCCTCTGCAGTGTGTCACGGGAAACAATCACCCCAGTTTGGCTTTCTACTTCTTTAGCTAACTGCAGTGAACTTGCATGGTGATGTAATTCAACCCTTCTCATTAGCAGATGTTCTTGTCGAGGTGTTAAATTCCAGGGACGACCTGTACATCTCTGTGAGGTGGTTGCAGTTCCATCTTTGTTAAATTTTTGCATCACTTTTACTACAGTATTCTGACTGATACGTAAAACTTTGCTGAGCTTCGTGTAGCCTTCACATTTCTTGTGTAAAGAAATTATTTTCTTTCTCATGCCTTTTGACATTTCTCTTTCATGTGGTGGCTTTGCTGACAACATGAAATGGCAAAGGGTTTTCTTTTAAGTAACGCCCTTTTATAATAATCTGTCTGCTGGATACCTGTTTAATGAATAAGTAGACTCACCTGTAGTTGAATTCTTGTTAATTAGGAATTTGTTGTTTCAAATTTAGCTTTGCTCCTAAGACTTTCATTGGGAGGTATTAATTTTTGCAACATGGTCTTGAAAGTATTTGTTAGGATAAGTACTTTTATGTATGTGCAAATGAACAAATCTTGTTTGCAATAAATGGCCTGCATTTGTGGGAGTATTTTGTAGTATAGTGTCCTATAGAAAATGTTGATTCTGAAAGGAAAGTACATGTTTTCTGCCAAATCTGTTGGGGTGCACTCAGTTATGCTGAGCACTGTGTATGTGTATATATACAGTTAGGTCCATATATATTTGGACACAAGCACAGTTTTAGTTTTTTTCAGGCATTTACCAAAACTTATTCAAGCTATAGTTATATAATGGATATGGGCTGAGAGTGCACACTCTCGGGTTTAATTTGAGGGCATGTACATCCAAATAGGAGGAAGGGATTAGGAATTACAGCTCTTAAGAGTAGCCATCCCTTCTTTTTCAAGGAACCAAAAGTAAATAGACAATTGAATCAAAAGCTGTTTCATGGCCAGGTGTCAGCTACTCCTTAGTTATTTCTTCATCAATTAAGCAGGTTAAAGGTCCAGAGTTGATTCTAAGTGTGGTATTTGTATTTTGAATCTATTGCTGTGAACCTACAGTGCATCCAGAAAGTATTCACAGTGCTTAACTTTTGCCACATTTTGTTATGTTACAGCCTTATTCCAAAATGGATTAAATTCATTTTTTTCCTCAACATTCTATAAACAAAACCCCATAATTACAACATGAAAGAAGTTCATTTTGAAATTGTTGCAATTTATTAAAAATAAAAAAACTACAAAAACCACATGTACATAAGTATTCACTTGCTGAATACTTTGTTGAAGCACCTTTAGCACCAATTACAGCCTCAAGTTGTTTTGAGTGTGATGCTACAAGCTTGGCAAACCTATTTTTGGGAAATGTCTCCCATCTTCTTTGCAATACCTCTCAAGCTCCATCAGGTTGGATGGGGAGGGTCGGTGCACAGCCATTTTCAGATCTCTGCAGAGATGTTCAATCGGGATCAAGTCTGGGCTCTGGCTGGGCCACTCCAGGACATTCACAGAGTTGGCCCGTAGCCACTCCTTTGTTATGTGGGCTGTGTGCTTAGGGTCGTTGTCCTGTTGAAAGATGAACCGTCGCTCCAGTCTAAGGTCCAGAGCTCTCTGGAACACGTTTTCGTCAAGGATGTCTCTGTACATTGCTGCATTCATCTTTCCTTCGATCCTGACTAGTCTCCCAGTTACTGCCGCTGAAAAACATCCCCATAGCATGATGCTGCCGCCACCATGCTTCACTGTAGGGATGGTATTGGCCAGGTGGTGAGCGGAGCCTGGTTTCCTCCAGAAATGACGCTTGGCATTCAGGCCAAAAAGTTTTTGTTTCATCAATCTGTGGCAGCACCCAAATATTTCAGAGTTCCCCTTTAAGCTTTAACATTTCTAAAAGCTTCTGTTTGCAGAACCAGGTCATCAGCTCACTTCCTCCCCCTCATTTCCTGTGGAACAATGTGTTCCAGTCTAGCAGCTGACACCCTAACTTTCAGTTGGTGATATTTTATCTAAACGTGAAGCCGCAAAGGCTATATGCTGAACTGCTCAGAATGTATTTTAAAGGTACAAAACGTAAAGAGGAAATATATGCATTGTGACATAATTGTTGATATATACACCATGTAAGATGCTTTTCAAGGCACTTAGCTTGCAGACACGAGTCTGGCTAGATCAACCAGCTGGTAAATAAAAAGCTTGTTTTCCTCAAGTTTGTGTCCAGAGTTTTCCTGGAATTCCCAAAGTTGCCATTACAAGACCAGAGAGTTTTGTTTCTCATGGTCTGAGAGTACCTCAGGTGCCTTTTGGCAAACACCAGGTGGGCTGCCATTTACCTTTTACTGAGGAGTGGCTTCCGACTGGCCACTCTACCATACAGGCCTGATTGGTGGAGTGCTGCAGAGATGGTTGTTCTTCTGGAAGGTTCTCCTCTCTCCATAGAGAGAGGCTGGAGCTCTTTGAGAGTGACCATTGGGTGCTTGAATATCTCCCTGGCTAAGGCCCTTTTTCCTCGATCGCTCATTTTGGCTGGGCGGTCCACTCTAGGAAGATTCCTGGTGGTTCCAAACTTCTTCTATTTACGGATGATGGAGGCCACTGTGCTTATTGGGACCTTCAATGCTGCAGAAATTTTTCTGTACCCTTCCCCAGATCTGTGCCTTGATACAATCCTGTCTCGGAGGCCTACGGACAATTCCTTGGACTTCATGGGTTGGTTTGTGCTTTGCCATGCACTTTTAACTGTGGGATCTTATATAGACAGGTTTATGCCTTTGCTAATAAAGTCCAGTCAACTGAATTTCCCACAGGTGGACTCCAATCAAGTTGTGGAAACATCTCAAGGATTATCAGTGGGAATAGAATGCACCAGAGCTGATTTTTGAGTGTCATGAAAAAGGCTGTGAATACGTATGTACATGTGTGTTTTTTTTATAAATTTTAAAGATTTCACAACAAACTTCTTTCACATTGTCATTATGGGGTATTGTTTGTAGAATGTTGACAAAAAAATGAATTTAATCCATTTTGGTTTAAGGCTGTAACATAACAAAATGTGGCAAAAGTTAAGCGCTGTTAATACTTTCTGAATGCACTGTAGGTTCACAACAATAGATTCCAAAATCAAATACCACACTTAGAATCAACTTCAGACCTTTAACCTGCTTGATGAAGAAATAACTGAGAAGTAGCCCACACCTGGCCATGAAACAGCTTTTGATTCAATTGTCCAATTACTTTTGGTTCCTTATAAAAGGGGGGATAGCTACTCTTAAGAGCTGTAATTCCTAAACCCTTCCTCCAATTTGGATGTTCATACCCTCAAATTAAACCAGAGAGTGTGCACTTTCAGCCCATATCCATTATATAACTATAGATTGAATATGTTTTGGTAAATACCTGAAAAAATCTAAATTGTGCCTGTGTACAAATACTGTATATATGGACTTAACTGTGTGTATGTATGTATATATATATATATA